ATTAGGGGAATTTTAAGAAGAAATAAAATCCATTTCTCTCTGTTTTGCCTGAGATCTTTGCTACACTCCAAAAATCAACTTTTTTTCAAAATTCAGTTCTCCATTCAGCCTGCCATGTCTGCCCTCAAGAAAGGTTCCAACTGATTTATCTGAATTTTGACTCATTTCTTGCCCAATAAATTATACCAAATTATACTTTCAAAGAAAGATAACATAGCATATCCCCCTGGATTCCTCTCTCTCTCTCTCTCTCTCTCTCTCTCTCTCTCTCTCTCTCTCTCTCTCTGTTTCCCCCTTTCACACACACACACACACACACACACAGAAAATGTTATTGATTTAGTGACCTGTATAAGTCATTCAACCACTCTCTGCCTCCGTTAGTTCTGTTGGTAAAAAGAAGGAGACTAGAAGCCTAAAAGTCTTTTCTAGGTCTATAATTTCATCATTCCATTAGACCATTTCCATAGTAACAAAGTCTGAAAATTCCAAACTAAATTTTACAGCTTACCTGATTGAAGTTTTATTTCTAGAAAAGAGGAGATTCATAAAGTAATCTCAAGAATGAAAAACAAAATGAACAGATAATTAGATCATCCAATTCTTATCAAGAAAACTGCTGCAAATCATTCATAACTCTGCCTTGACAATGTCAGGATTAATAAGTTATGAAAAATAATTTACTCCAAAGAATTTGCTTTTTCTCACTAGTTTGCATAAAGGCCATTACTCTGTCTTTTCCATCCCTCCACTTTTTTCTATTCTCTTTTTTTAAATGGTCTGAAGGCAAATGTGTCCTTTCTTCATGAGTAATAGTACTGCTGGTGAAAATGGCTGGGAAGGAGCATGGAACAAATCCCGGACCAATAAAGCAGTGACTTTGAAAAGGAAATTGCCCTGCTTAAGTGATAGATTCCTTTTCAGCCGTCATGACCCAAGTTATGAGGGAGTCCAGGGAGTCGGGTCCTGCCCTTACAGACCAAGCAGCTGCAAAGCCGCCCTGGGAGTTCACTGCGGACTCTGAAGGGCCAAGGGCTGCCCACCCACCTACCCCATCAGGCTTCATGCTGTAGCCCTACCGGACCAGGGGCTGAGCAGGAGTGTGTGTGTACTTCGCAAGAATCTCCCCAAGAGTCACTTTCAACTAGCCTGAATCACCCCCACTTTCCAGCACCTACCCCAATCATGGCCAACTTGAGTTCCACAGCTTTGTGCTAACCAGCATTATTTTTCATCTTTTGTGTTTGCCTTTTTCTTTCCCAAGGACTGTAAGTCCTTGAGCACAGACAGCCACCACCATTTAGACACCCTTCCATTAGAGATCCATGAGAAATTCCTGTGAAGATCATGACACCAGTAAATGCAAAGATGAACAGAGCTTCAAATGTTTTTCCTAAAAGAAGTGATGGGATGTTTGAACAACACTTGCTCTCTCTGATCCTTAGGCAGTGTTTTCTAGATAAAAAGCTGAGATCTGGGACAAAGTGAGAATTCTTAGCTACTGCCATTCCCAATTTATCAGAAGATGCTCTGCTATTAAAACATAAGCAATGTTATGAATTATTCTCTACTAGACTTGGCTAAGAAACAGCTTCAAATCCAACATATCTTTATATCCTTAAAAAGACGAAGGTTCAGAGCTGTGGAATGCCCCCTCCTCAACTTTCTGGGATGGGGAGATTGTAACATCAGGAGAGATTGTAACATCTTTTCCCCAAGATACCAGATACTCGTTTTTTGCTACCTATGTTCAAGGCAGTCACCTCAGAAAAGACACACCCTGCATTCATGAGTATGTGATGATTCTGGATGCAAGTGTTTCAAATTTGTGTAATTTAATTCTAAACAAGTCTTACAGCTTCCTTTATAATACTGTTGGTGATAATTACTAATATTCCAAAAGGAACTTAATGTTTTAGAAGACTCTTAGTCCTAGAATCTTTCAAACCATAGTGAGCTTTTTAGTTTTTGCTTTCAAAAAGAATTATAAAGTGATTGCAATCATTGAAAAAACAAAGCCAACTGATGAATTCAAGGATCATTTCAAAGCTATCAATTCTTGGGCTCCACCCCTGAAAGAGATGCTCATTTAATTGCTTTGGATACACCCCAGTCTTTTTTTGTAATCTCTTTAGAATTCCATTGGCCATGTGAAAAGCAGGCCTCATGTATACATCTGTTAGAGGATGTATCACATGGTATATACTGTACCATGATTACTTGTGAGCATCTCTTCCTTAAAAGAAGATGGAAGTTTTATTTTGCTTTTTGTCTTTTTGAGACAGGATCTCGCTATGCAGTTCAGGCTGGCCTTAGGCTTACTTCGTGGCCCAGGCTGCTCTAGAACTTGCAATGATCCTCCTACCTCAGCCTCTGGAGTGCTGTTGTGAGTCCTGTGGTAGACACAGGGTTGTTAAAGGTCCAAGTACCTGCCATTCACATAGCTCCTTCTGAGGGAACCCCAGGATGTTTCCTAAACAAAGGGGGCCAGGTTGTGCACCCTAAGACACCAATAATCTGAATGCTGATGATTGGCTCAGAAATAGGCACCTGAACTCAGTTCTGCTCATCTACATAGCGACAAACCACCTATAAGAAAGCCTGATACAAAAGTTCAAACGCCAGCCCTTGTTGAGTGCCCAGCTGAGCCAATTAGATCCTTTCACTAAAGGAGTTTAAATGTGAGATCAACAGAGAGCTGAGCAGTTGGTAGCAGGAGCAGAAGCCAAAGGACGCCAGGAGAAAAACAGGGAGCAAGAGGAGCTGAATCACCTTGGCGGTTAAGCCTCTTAGTAGGGACGGGCAGATGCCTGCTGCTGAGGGGGCAGCAAGATAACCCAGTCCCACAGGCATATCCTGAATGACCTTCCAGTTCCTGAATTTCAATCCAGTTTTCGTGAGTCCTGGCTGGGTGGCCTTTCCGGAAAGCTTTTCGAAGACACGTGGCTGAGCAGTAGAGATTCCGGTCAGCCTTCCTTCCACAGTAAACTCCCATTCCTCAGGGTTAACTCAGTAATATCTGGTCCTTGAAACCCCAAAAGCCCAATCAGCACAATTCCCAGGGCCTACCTCTTTACCTAGCATACAGCAAGTGCTAACTAACTGCAGATTCTCAGGTCATCTCCAGTAAAAAGATTTCTTAAAATGAAATCATTTATGATAAAAACACTGATTTGGGTCACCTTCAGATTCCAAAAACAATGCTATGATGCAAAAAATACATTTAGTTCATTCCATCGTCCTATTTCCAAATTCATACACTGCTACCATAAATCTATCAAAGAAGGGAATATCACATTCTACAGAACAGCAAAGAGCATTTTGCTTTCAGGTGAAGTCAGTTTGGATAACTTGACTCCCTTCACTTAATGTTAAATCACAGTAATGTTAGTAAGAACAATTTTCCACCCACACTAACTTCACTGACAACCTTCCAAGTAGCTGATCTTTGACTTTTAAGAAGTTTAATAAAATGCGCTCACACACACACACACACACACACACACACACACATTCCCCCTGTCTGTTGTCTGTATCAGCTACTTGAAGAACACATACTCCCCAACAACTGGATGAGTCATCAAATAAGAGGTACAGGGATGTAAAACTGAGCCTGTTTACGCTTTCCCTGTCCCCAACTAATAAGATAAAAGAGGTCCTACTGAATTCAGGTCCACTGGCTTCCAGAAAACAGATTTCTGCTAAGCAAAGACATACCTTACCTAGTGCATGATTTTAAAAGTAGCGTTAATTCCACGCCCCATGTGAATGGGATGTATTTATGGTTACAGCCACGCACAGGGTGTGTAAGGACTTGCCCTCCTTGTGTCCTCTACAAAGGAAGGTTCCTGGCTGCTCTTGGTGGTGAGCTAACCAACAAAAGCAACGCTGAAAAGGTCTCACCTCTCCCATTCACAGAGCTCTGGAAGGGGGCTGGGTCCTTGCTCGCTGGTAACTCAGTATCCAACCGGTGCTTGCTTAGATTTCCCATCTGCATTTTTGAAAATCTGTATGAAGTAGGTTTTCCCCAACCTCCCCTGACCTCTCTTTGATAAAGTGATCTTATGCCTCTGGAACTGGGCTTTTGAATGTATGTGCCTACCCCACATCTGGTATAATATTACAACAGCATGAAAACGAAGCCTCAGACTGAGGAGCCGGCCAGCCTCAGAAGCCTTCTTCATTGCCTGCCATGTAATACATGATATGCAAAGCCTCTGACTTCAGCCAACAGATATTTGGAGACCGTGTTGGCCCTAGCATGGGGACCAAACTAATGTGTGTTTAGGTCAGAAAGCGAATCAGCAAAGCCACTGGAGGGCACGTCACCGAGTGAGAGCCCTATAAATGCATCCTCACTCGCAGCGTCCCCTGGCAAACACTCGGCTTCCCTCACTGGAAAGCTCCACATCTTTCCTTCTTGGTGCTAGGAGAACTCCATTTGGTAGCTCCTCTTCTCCCGCTGACTTCTGCCCAGCAGAAAAGCGAGAGGGCTAGACACCGAAGGAGAAAGGAACGCCTTCGACAGGCGCGTGGAAAGCCCAGTGCAGCCCTGCACCAGGCAGAGCGCCCTCCCTCCCAGCGCGGGGCGCAGAGGCGAAGCCCGGCGCGGGCGCAGCAGCCAAGTTCGGATTGCCCCCTTTGGTCGATCTGAGTCGAGCTCCGCGCATTCCTCCGGATCAACCCGGCGAGGCGACGGCGCGAGCCCGGCTGCTTCTCCACAAGCTCAGCGCTCTCCTTCCACCCCGGGGAGGGGCGCCTGGCGTCACCCACTTGCACCCCGCACCCCTACCTCGGGAGCGCCGGCGCCTACTCGCTGCTCTCCTATCCCTCCCCCCACCGCCGGGCCAGCCGCAGAATCTCGACCCCTCCCCTGCCCGGGCCCCGGCCTCCCCTCCCCCACCCCGGCCCCCGGCCCGGGCTCTCGACGACCAGCCTGCGCTCCTGGCGCCCTCATGTCTTCAAGGGACAGCCCGCGCGGGTTGACGTGGTGTCTCGTTCGGATCTCCAGGCAAGACCTCAGCTCCCGCGGCAGCATCAGACAGGCCCACCTCCCAGCCGCTGCGCCCCGAGGAGGCGCGGGGTGTCGCGGCCGCCGCTGAGCCGCCCGCTGCGCCCGGGGCCCGCGCAGCCCTGTCACCCCTCGCTCAAGGCCGGGGAGGCTGCTCGGACTTGGGCTTCTGGGGGTGCGGAAGGCCGGCGGGGGAGGTGTCTGCAGCCTGCACTCTTCTCGCGGCCGCGGCGGCTGGAACCTTGGCCGCCGCCTGTGCGCCCTCGCTGCCCCGCGCGACCCCAGGATTGCGAACTCTTGCCCCTGACCTGTTGGGCGGGACTCCGCGCTCCTGTCCTCGGCCCGGATGGGTCTTCTGGCTGGGACCCGGGCCACCTGGAATTAATGTCCAACTGGGGGTCTGCGGAGACCGGATCCGAGGTAAGTGAGAGCGCGGACTGTGGTGGGGGGCTGGGGGAGCCCCTGCGTCGCAAGCGCCAGCGGGCAAGGGGGGCTACCGGGCGCCTGAGGCAGGAGGGCACGGCCGGACCCTGGAGTGGGCAGTGAGAGTGAGAAGCAGAGAGATGAGAGAGGGAGGAGAGAGAAGTTGAACAGGAGAGGCTAGCCTCGCGGAGGAACAGGTTGCCTTTTTTCCACGTAGGCAGGAATCCGTGGAGTCCCTGGTGTCCCTGGCACCGCAAGCCTGAGAGAGGCAATTTTCCTCCATCTCGGCAGGGCGCCCCTGCCAAGTACCCAAACGATGTGGAGCTTGGTTCATCTTCGAACCCACCAGAGTGCCTTTTCCAGACGTGCAGCGGCGGGAATGTTAACACTGGCAAGACTGTAACTTATTATTGAGCTCTCTTTGGTCTATTCCGAGGAAAAGCTCAGGCCCCGGGGAGAGACTGCTGCAAAGGTGCTGGGAATCTAAAAATAGCGGGCTCATCTCCTCCAGGCGAGGTCCTGCGAAGCTGCATTCCTCGCCCAGTTCAAGCCTGTTTGCTCGCACTTTCCTAATGCCCTCGTGCTGTCGAGGTCACGAGAGGGGCTCTTTGGACCGTCCGGGCCTCAGGGTCCCGTCTCCAGCAGACTCTTGGGACTTCTCGAGGTCTGGGCTAGACCATGGAGGCGATTATTTTAACAACTTCTTGGCTCCTGTACTATCTGCCTCCTCTCCCAGGAACGCACCACCACTATTTTGCACCACCTCGGGGCTGACTCCACGGTAGTTTGGTTTCCAGCCCCACCCAGTGAAAAGGAACCTTTCTGGGGGCGGGAACGGACTTTCACCGGGTCCCCCGGCCTCCAGGCGCCGCGCTGCTTTCGCCCGTGGCAGAATCCGCCTGCAGAGCCTGAGAACACCCTGGGAGGGCCAGGCGGCCCCAAGCTCGCCACGCTCGTGCTCACTGGCGGGGACAAACAACTCTGGGCCCAGCGGTTGAATAGGTTAGAGAGCGCCCCCGATTCTTCCTTCGTACTTTGAATATTTACTTAAGCGTTTCAGGGGAGACCTGCGACTTCCCACCACCCCACCCCCGCGCGCACCCCTCCTACAAATCCCTCAAAGTGGGATCCGATGGGTTCCTTCTTGCTCCAGCCCTCCCTGTTTCACTGCGCCTTCTCTTTGGTGGTGAATGTGTCGCCTTTTCAACAAGTGACAAAAGTCAGGTAGTCAAGAATCCCCCCCCCCGTTCTATTTTGGCACGAGACTGGGCCCTCTAACACACAGACTCCCTCCCCAGCTTGCTCGCCAACAAGTCCCGAAGTCTTCTTCCTCTCGGTCGTCTTGGGTCGGGCAGTTATGGTGGGTGAGAGGATGGTAAATTTTCCATCCGTCAAGGGCACTAAGCACAGTAAAGAAAAGCAATAGACCTTTCAGTAATTTCTGTTCCCGTCGCCAAAGAAACCCTGAGTTTATAGCGAACCCCGCCCCCACTGCTTCTGGTCTCTGCCAGAGACCTGGATCTCGAAGGCAAACCCCAAACAAACCTCCCCAGCTGCCAGCGCGAGAGGATGCGGGGGCACTAGCCGCGGGAAAGCTGCCTCGGCGACGAAGGGAAAGGGGTGTGTGGAAGCAGGTTGCCAAAGAACCACCCGGGATGAAGTGGGAGGAGGAAAGCTCCGGGCAGAGAATGGAGAGGTAGGAGCTTTAAAAGCGGGGTTGCCGTTAACGACGTCCACAGGTTCCCGGGCTAACTCTCGATTTAGGGAGGATTGTAGAGGGAGTGGTTGTTCTCGTTTTATACTTAAAATGACAACACAGCCTCCCGGCCGCTTGGGCGCCTTCGGACTCGGGCGGTTTCTGGTGCCCCCTGGTGCCGGGAACTCAGAATCGACGGGTGGCTGCTTCTGCAGACCTCTTGCTTTCCTGGGCTTCCTTTCAGTCCCAGGCCTGGGGACCACGAGGGGCAACGCCTCTGCCGCTTCTGTTTTGCCCGTTGGTCCTAGACTTGGAGGGAGAGAAACCTGCCAGGCACAGGAGCGAAACTGGGTCACCTGGTGCAGCCGACTCCCGGAGCAAAGCTTGGTTTGCGCACGTGGTAGCACATTAACCTATTCGGGCTTGTAGCAAAGGCCGAGGGGTGTGTAGAAAACACGTCTGGCAAAAGTAGCTGTGTCTTAAGAAAGTGACAGAGGACAAACGGGGAAGCCTCAGTTGGAGGGCAGACTGACTCAGGAGAGCTTCCCAGGAAACCGCTGGTGCGCGCGCAGTCCCCAGAGCCCTGCCTCTTCTGCTGCCTGCAAACACTGGGTACTACCCACTAGGACCTGAGCTGCCCCCACCCCCGTCACTCAGGGAAGAGCGCGCCTCGCCTTCCTAGGGAGGAAGGAGGCTCTTTCGGGGTGCTTGCGACTCCCAGCGTAGGGCGGGAACGGGAGCCTCCTCTGGCGCGGCGGAGGGCGTTGCACTGTTTCCTCTCTTGCCAGCTTCGCCACACTTCTAATTGAAGCTCTCCACGTCCAATTTAAAAAGTCCTCCGTCGCCAAGCGGGAGGAAAAAAAGGGAAACCCCTCTTAATGTGGAAGGGAAATCTGGTGCCCCTGTCGCTTCCTGCCGGCGGGCACCGCGATTTGGAACGGCGCATTAACCCCGCGCCGCCTGCGCCCGGGGCCGCCAGCCATTTCGCACGCACCCAGGAGCTGTTTGGCGGGACTGACGGGGCTGGCGGGGCAGGCGAGGCTGGCACCCGGCGCGCGGGAGGCTTCGCATTTTCCAGGTCCCCAGTGCCAAAGCGTCTCTCTGCGCTCATTTTGCACGTCGTGGTAGTCTTCCTGGGCCTGCGCGCGGGGCAAAAGAGAGGGTCGCCTTTTCCCGAGTTTGCAAGCCAGCAAATGCAGCACGAGGCGCTCGGAGTCCCTAGTCCCTGCGCGCCCCCAGAGCCCAACAGCTGCATAGAGAACAGACGCACAGGGAGAGGAAAATGCATTCGTCTCCGCAACGGTGGGAGGGGACGGCCCAATTAAACGCTTTCCCGGGTCGCCTGCACCCCGGTTGTGGCAGGAGTTCTGAGTAGGGGGCTGGGGATATCCTGCAAGGGAGGTAGGAGCGCCTGGAAAATACAGTGGCACCTTGGTTCACGAACTTGGTTCTTTCCTTGATTTTGGACCCAAGCCGAGTTGGAGGAGAACTGAATCAAATTCAGTGATTAGGTTCAATGTCGTCCAGACAGGAAAGGGTTGAGAACTGTCTTGTTTTTGTTTTTGTTTTCATTATTTAGAAACTCTTTCCCTCCCCCCCCCCCAAATTCAACATTTTCGTGGGGAATAATTAACGCCATTAATTTCATAGCGTGAGGATTCTCTTCAGGCACGAGTTCCCTGGAGGCCGGCACACTGCAGCTGGGAAGGAACTGGGTAGCCACGCCAGCCGCAGCCGAGGTGCCTGCGCCCTCTACACCTCCCCATTGGGTGGGGCTTAGCCTGGAGTTTACTGTAGCTTTTTCTCCTCCGCTCCTGACTTCTTGGCTCTCCTTTCCAGGAGTATGAGGCCTGAGAAGCCAAAAGGAGCCCTGTTGCTGAGACGAGGACCCCCTATGGGGTCCCAGTCTAAGCCTTAGAGTGAGGTGTGGCTAGGCAAGACTTCTGTCGACCAGGCTTGGTTGAGGTGCTGGGCGCTAATAACTCCTGAAGGGAGTCAAGCCGAAATTTCATAGCTACAGGATGGTCTCAAACTTGCAACAATCCTCCTGCCTTTGCCTCCCAAGTGCTGGCATTACAGGCGTGCACCGCCACGCCGGGTTGAGATTGGTATTTTTAACTCAGTCGATGCTTCAAAAGTTAAGTAACTTAACCCAGATATTTCTATGCAGGCCAAAAGGCTCCAAGCTCCTACCAGTTCCGGTGACAATTAGGTGGTAAAGTTAAAAGCTGGGGGCAGCGGGGAGGGTCGTGGTTCCACCATCTGTGGCTCCCCCTACACACACCACCTGAGAGGAGGACCACTATCCCAGACACTTAATTTTATTGCTAAAGTTTTGTTGCTTGCTTGGGTCAAGAGCTGGCTGGCTCTGAATGCTGAGGGGCAGTTGCCAGGCTAGGAAGGAAGGTCTGGCTGAGGCCAAGGATGGGGACTATAAGATTACTTCTAGGTAATGGGGCAGTGGTGGGGGGCGCCCCAATGAATGGGACAGGCCAGGAATTTCTGTGTTGCTTTAGTGGGAGGTCTACTGGCAGACGACAGTGGCCGTGCTGGAAAATCTGACTCCTGGGTGGGGTACCAGCTGCACCGGGGGCACACCGGGGAGAGGACGGAGGTGCCCAGGGAACCCAGGGCTGCAAGGGCGAGAGGAGGGGAAGAGGACGAGTTAGGTGGAAACGACCTGCGGGCATGCGCTGGGCGCCCAAGTCTAACTTGCGTTCTGCGGTTCTCTCCGGGCCGCCCGCCCGCCCGCCCGCGTAGGTGCCGCCGCCGCCGGACGGGACTCTAAGATGAAGTTATGGGATGTCGTGGCTGTCTGCCTGGTGCTGCTCCACACCGCGTCCGCCTTCCCGCTGCCCGCCGGTAAGAGGCCTCCCGAGGCGCCCGCCGAAGACCGCTCCCCCGGCCGCCGCGCGCCCTTCGCGCTGAGCAGTGACTGTAAGAACCGTTCCCTCCCCGCGGGGGGCGCTGGCGGACCCCGCACCCCACCGCCGCACACACGCACCCCAGGCCAGCCCTCGGGGCTGTGCGCCTCCCGGCCAGGCCCTGGGGGTACTCACGTCCCGTTGGGGTGTGTGGCTTTCAAAGGTCCCCGCTGGCACAGGCGCCTGCTTGTGCGAGGTTGAGTTTGATCCCTGATACCAAAAAAAAGAAAAGAAAAAGGCCCCGTGTCTTGTCTGATTGTCCAAGAAACAGTATGGCTTTCCCAGCAGGGCGGGTACTCACGCTGACCTTATCATGCTGAGGAACAAATATTCCTCCCACCCATCACCCTGGAAACACAGGCAAACTGTTGCCTTTTCTATCATACAGACACATTCCCTTTTGTGTTTTTTGGGTTTTTTTTCTTTCTCTCTTAGCACTTTGTTTTGCTGTAGCTGGATGTGCTTAATTCTAAAACCTATTGCACTTTCAAGAGGCTGGCTTTTCACAAGACCCAGCCAGGGACAGAGAAAACACAGCAGGGCCTAGGTTTTCAGAGTATGCGTCTGGGTAGTGTCAAGTCAGTTCAGAAGATTTCCAGTACTAGAAAGATGTAAAGGTAAATAGCACAGGCTGAGATGGGGAAGAAGCTGTAGTTCCTAGCCAGATATAATAAATGCTAACTTTTAAGAAAAAAAAATATTTTTTTTTTTGGTATCAGGAATCAAACTCACAACCTTGTGCTTGCCAGGCAGGTGTTTACACCACAGAGCGAAATCCCCAGCCCCAAATTATTCTTATTAGAAAATAACTCAGTGATTTACCTCTCAAAGGGAGCATATTACTGAAGCAAGTCACTTGGAGTGTGTCAAGTGACTTGGTAGGATTTATCCTGTGTTCCTCAAGAGTTGAGCATAAAGTGAGCTATGCTAGATTACAGGGTATCAAGGACTGTCAGGGAGGTATGCAGGTGACAAAGGTAACCATAGAAAATTTGACACAACCCCAAAGTAAAGCGATAGTGAGCTGTGTGCCAGGATGCCACACTGGTTTTACCCTACCCCTAACTATTCTTCTAGCTGCTGTGCTGTGCTGTGCTGTGCTCTGTGGTGATAATGAGAACTGGAGCATCCCAGCACACGTGCTAGGACTTCCGTAAACATAGCCGCCTTGGGCTGGGAAACACCTATGAGATGTGATGTACTTATTTTATGCTGAATTATAACAACAAAAGCATCTTCTTATACAAGTTCCAAGAAAAAAAAGTGCATTTTTTTTAAATTGACAAAATAGGGCTTCAAGCATGATTTAGGAAGGGCTAGAGATTTAGCTCAGTGGCGTAAGCACTGGCTGGCAAGCATGAGGTCATGAGTTAGATCCCTGGTACCCCCACTCAAAAAAGGAATGACCCCCCCCAAAAAAAGATTGACTTAGTGTTGGAAGGTTCGCTCCAAAAGTTTCCATCAATTAACTACATACACCTATTCTTAAAGGCTTTCCTTTATTTTGGTGTACATAATTGTTCTCCAATAAAAATTAAATTTAAAATGCCCTTTGTACCATTGTCTTCAAAGCAATACACAGTAGGAGTTAAGTAACTTACTTTTCATTCAGTGGAATAGGCTAACTCGAGGACAGGAACACAGTGGCAAGTTACTAACTTGGATGTTTAAGAGAAAAATGACTGCCTGATTATAAAGCCGGTTAATTATTTCATGGAGGTTTAATTGCCATATTAGTATCTTATCTACTTATCCTTATTAAATACAGGCTTCTGGTTCTGGTTGTGCTTTAAGTTAACCCTGTGAACAAATTACTTACTTTAGAACCAATGAAGAGTTTATAACCATAGAATAAAGGAGGCCTTTCTGCTCCAAAATGCAAGTGGCTATGAGATTCGCTCCTCAGCATTTCATGCTCCTGTCCCAACTGTCCTTTAGGAATAGATTCAGGAGCAGAGACTAGAGTCACACAGGGAACTTAAAATTCTGGTGCTGCACCTCACCCAAGAAGATTCTGAACACTGGTTTGGTGCATGGCATGAGCACCTGCACTTTTAGACACTCCCCAGGTGAGTCTACTGTGCAGCCAGGGTTGAGTCACTGTAGTTTAATAATGTATGAGAATCTGTGGTTCATAAAAGTCACAACCCACACAGTAAGCAAGTTAGCACTGATCCTGCAGATAGCATGAGGGAGGGCATGACAGGAGGGAAGGGAATTACTTCCCTCTCTTTCCCTTGAACTGATGCTAAATCATCAGTAGACAAGATTCTGACTGTTCTGTTGTATTTGAATCAGCAGGACATACCCAATTCTGTTTATCTATAGGAAGACTCAATAGATCCTAGAGGAAACCTGACAGAGAGCTGTTCTCAAAGAGAAAGTGAGCTGTATCCTAAGCCAAATTGACTTCTTTCCAGGTATGTTCACTTTGGTGGCAAGCTGTCAGTACAGGGAAAGCAAAATAATGACAGTGTGCAGATTTTGAACTCTCAACCAGTGTCAACACGCCCCGTCAAGGTGCTGACATTTATATTCTGCATTATACACGGTGCAACTGCTTAAGACTTATGGAGAAAAACATTAAGTCACTGTATTTCATTTGAAAATAGAAAGTACCATAAATTCTGTCCCTCTATTTCCTTTCAGATGCTTTTAACTTAGTAATTAAACAAAATAACTTTTCATCACATTAAGTCATTGTGTACTTTTGAAGGGGAGCTGGGACTACACCCATTCCACACATTCACCCTTGAGAATGCATGTGTCCTGCTGCCCCAGTGAAAATGAAGTGTCCAGAATTGAATTCATACATAGTGTGAATTAACCATTACTGGTTAACTTCCTTACTTAGAAGTTGACTTTAAAGTAAGTGGTTCATAGCCGTCTCCTGTTTAGCTTATATCTTGTCCAAACTCAAGGACTTATGATTTATGTTTTGGAGCAACCAAGATTCTCTTCTCTTCTTAGCTGCCTTTGTTCATTTGTGTGTGTGTGTGTGTGTGTGTGTGTGTGTGTGTGTGTGTGTGTGTACTGGTATCTTCTCCAAAGGGAAGCAGAGTTAGAGGTGAGGAATCTACCAAGTGAAACTCACAGATGTCATAGCAATTAAAGCTGAACGGAAACTTTTCTGGATCTGAGATCTAAAAAGGTAAAGCAACTTGTCCAAAGTGCCAGACATCCATGATGGCAGGATGTAGGTCCCTGAAACCGGGACCAGAGTTTCCACAGACTACTGAAATGCAATTGTTGTGTAAAAAAGAAACACTTTACTTAAGAGGAAGCTCTTCAACTAATGACTAAGACCTGTCACATGGATCCCCTGAATTTATTGAAGGTTAATGCATTGTAATCTTGTTCTGTATCTCAGCTCTACATCTGTTTTACACCTAAAAGTGCAAAATGTGTGTGGTTTTATAACTGTGCAACCTGAACACACATATCTATTCAGCAAATAGTTAATGTGTGTCTGTATGTGCCAGGCTCTGTTCTCAGTGTTCAAAGTACCTTGGTACACCTAGTGAAGTCTCTGCCCTAGTGTAACATACTTCCCAGAAAGTGAACAGGTGTCATAGGTACGAAAAAAATAACCATGAAAGAACATTGGACTGACAGAGTGGGCTTAGTATTTTATACAACTGGAAGCAAACCAGAAGAGATTATTACATCATTAAATTGTGATTGCACAATGCCCATTGTATTACAATGGGATTGTATTACAATTGTATACAATTGGGCAGCAGGTCATAAAATTTCCTATAAAAACAATTTTTTAGTAAACTATCAAGTTCTTAGACCAACGGAAACCTAAGTAAGCCATTATGAAACTGAAAAACAGTTTTCAGGTGAGAATCTCTGTCCTAGGTGTGACCTCCTGTAATCTACAGAGGGAGAACATTGAGCAAGTCATCAGGAGGCTTCAAAGAAAGTATATTCTGGTCAGACCACAGTTTGTATCCCAGCCTTCCACTTACTTCACTAGTTATGACTTAACATCTCTCCAACCCAGGTTTTCTCATCTGTGTAGTAAGAATAATACTCAACCTGCCAAGGCGTTAAATGAAATACTGTTCTGTGATGCTTGTGTGCCATAATCAGGTTTTGTCATAGTTGTTATTGGCCAACCTCCTACTTCCTGAGGCCCCTCCCCGGGCACCCAGTAAACTCCCTCGTGTGACAACTTCTGCCGGGACTTTCAGGCAGCTCATCATAGTATCAATGACAGAGGTAGCATTGGCCTGGCAGGACGTGGTTTGGACCCGCAGTTGGGTGGTCAGTCTGGTCTCACCTGAGATTCTGCCACCCCCTTCAGATCTGCTGCCCTTGGCCTTTCCCAGCTTTCACAATTCTACCCCTCCCCAGTTACTGAGCTCCTGCACTTCCTGTAGAATTTTCTGTACCAGACTTCCATGGTTGTGTGAGGGAGCCCCTCTTCTCCTGTGGGAAAAAAAGGGGCCAGGCAAGAGTAAGATCTTCCTTTTAAGTAATAAGAGGGTATGAATTGGAAGCTACCTGTACCAAGAGAGAGCAGTTCTGTTTTAATTGATCCAAGTTGTATATTTAAATGTTTCTTAAAACCAGCAAAAAAGATTCTTTAGTAAATATTCAACCCACTAGTATACAACGAAGGAAGTTTCTAGTGTTGAGTAGATGCTAAACTTCCAAATCTAATATTACGAGATACAGGATTCTGAATGAATAAACACCATCCACCCATTGCTTCATGACCATATAATGGAACAAATACTATTATAAAGTAACTACTAAGCTAGCAGGAGCTCTGCACTTGGAAAAGATCTGTTGGAATTAAGAACCTGCAGGTCAGACTCTCTTAGGAGGCACTGATCCCTTACTTAAGATCCAACACCAGCATTTCCCACTGGAGACAGATTTCAGAACATTGCTGTTGAGAGAAATGCATTTAAGATTCACTTTGAATTGGACAATCTTAGGATATTATGCTAGTCCGGTAGCCTAAACAATATGTTCAAAAAAGTCTGTTTCTGCAGATAC